TACATTAAGGGGACCTCAAACTTAGGGATTCAGTTTAGAAAACAGGCTGAGGGTGTTATTTTGAAAGGGTTTACTGATTCTGATTATGCAGGTGATAGGGACAACAGAAAATCTACTTCTTCATACATGTATACTTTGTGTAATTCATGCATAAGCTGGAAATCCCAGCTTCAAAAGATTGTGGCCTTGTCTTCAACTGAGGCTGAATACATTGCAGCCACCGATGCTATAAAAGAAGGAATTTGGTTAAAAGGGTTACTTAATGAATTTGGTTTTGTTAAAGAAGTGGTTCTTTATTCTGATAGCCAATCTGCAATTCATTTAAGTAGAAATCCTGTTTTACACAATAGATCTAAACATGTTGATGTTAGATTTCATTTTATTAGAGATGTTATTTCACAAGGTGTTGTGAAACTTGAAAAAATATCTACTAATTATAACCCTGCTGATGTAGGTACCAAAGTTCTACCTTTAACCAAATTCCTGGATTGCTTCACCTTGCTAAATGTGGTGCCCTGCTAATCTGTGAATGCAGCTACTGTGATTGTGAGTTCTGAAACTAATGAATAACCACTAATGAGCTTGAATCATTGTACCAAGGTGGAGATTGTGGAGAAATGTGGCACTATGATGCAATGCCCTTGGGCCTGTTGAAATTGGCCCAGCTGGTTTATATTATTGAGCCCAGCCTGTGTTTTCTTAAATGGACAGAAAGCGTGAAGTAGAAGAACTTAAAATCGTGTTTCACTTACCTGAAGAATTGGATGGCTGTGATGTCGCCACGTGTTACCTCCAACTCCGTTGGATTGGCAACTGTTAGGTGACCCATTTAAAAGCCATGTTCTAGGGTTTGAGATCCACTCTGATCTTCGAGACTCTTCTATATCTCTCTCACTCTCTCTGAGCCGTTTCTGTGTGTTCTCTCTGTCTTCTCACTGTTGAAATCAAATAATCCCCTTTTGATTTCTGTTTTCTTTCAATAGCTTGTATTCTTGAGTGATTTACCTGTATTGAGTATTGATTCTTGAGTGAATCGTGTTATTTGAGAAGAGAGTTCCTTTTATGAAATATTTAGAGCTTGTCTGAGTGTCGATCCTTATAATCTTTACCTTGGGATTTGATTCGAGCATTGTGGTGTTCATTCTTGTGTGATTGAAGCACTGTTTGTATGAGTTTGGCCTGTGGGATTAATTAATAAAGATAAGTGTTCATTTTACAGTTTATTGTTCTGTATTTTTCAGCTTCAATTGAGTTCGATTATAGCAGTTTCTGATTTTCGCAGTTTATGCTTTGTGTTCGATTTTTACTGCTCTTACTTCAGTTCGATTTTGTTACTTTTGTACATATATTTTGTTCATTTGTTTGGTAATCAACGTGAATTCCTCCCAACAAAAATAATTCATCGCCTAGTTCCAACAAGTTAGAGAAATTATACTTTACTTGGCAACAGAGACAAGACAGGAAAACTAGATGGACCCGCTCATAAAGCCAATGGAGATGAGGTGTGATTTGACAGTGCAATTCCTCACTTACATGTTACAGTTGCTGTAATTAGGCTGACACGTGTACTATTGGTATCATCAACTGGGCCCCATTGTCCACCACCCACTAAACTTATTGTGGGCCCTGCATACCCAAAACTCATTTTTTCTCAATGGCCCCTTTTTTTTTCTTTTTTTTTAACAAAATGAAATGGGTTATTTCCGATGCAGATTCTTTTCTTCACAAGAGATGCTTTCACAATTGGCACAGTTTCCCAACCCTACTTTCACTTTGCTCAGTGTTTTAATTGACCAGTCAACTTCCTTGACTGATGCTGATTACCCACGATCTTCATGGTCCCACAGTTTTGCACTGGGCCCCACCACATTATCTGTACCAAATTTGGGGATTCTACCATTGTTTTGAAATTCGAATCGATCAATCTATTCGATTGAAAAATGAATAATCAAGTCACATTTTATAAATAAAAATAATTTAAAACGCATTAAGAATCAGTTATTTTATACTAAGAATTACTTGATTCATTTGTGGACTCGTACTATTTCGATTTGACCGTTTAATCCTTAACCATTTGTTTTTGAAAAATTGATTTGTTCTTAGCCCCTGTTTGATGCACATTTTTGTTCTAAGAATACATTTTTTTGATTGATGTGGTTGGGAATATGTGGTTGAAAAAAAAGAAAAATTATTAATGTCGTGAAAAATATTATTTTATTGAAAAATGTGTGATTGGAAATGAGTAGAAGAATAAAAAAAAAAAAGTGGCTCAAATGTCCTTCAATTTCCTTTGACGTCATTATTCTTTTATGTATATATCGAGACATAATAGAGGTGTGGAACATCCGTCCTAAGTGGGGAACAATATTTACAAGAGGGAAGTCGTGTTCAAGATACTTCACCTCGATAAACTTATATGATACAGATCGTCGAGTCGTCCAAAACTCTACATATTCACTAAAACAGCAGGTACTCTGCGATTCGATAGGGTAGGGTGGCGTGGGGGTGGCGTGGAGGTGCTGATTGTCATGGGATCCTAAGTGGGATCAATCATTGTCAACATACAACTGAATGATGAATATTTAGAATATTTGTCTCTGACAACATTGATTTTCCCACCAACCCAATAATAATTATAGTACTGGACCCCTAAAATACTAATGTTGTTAGGATTGAGAAAGATTTCAAAATGGCTTAGGCATTAGGATTTGCGATCTTCTTTTAGTGGGTGATTAGCATTTCATTGGATTGCACGTGATTATCATTTGTTGTTGTTTCTATGGATAAGAACCAATTGTTATTTTAAATAAATTATCATTATTGCTTTAAAATTCTTGATTAAGCCCCTGTTTGCCCCCCATTAAATTAAATTTTTGGGGGTAAATAATTTTTAGAATAGTGATTGATGGGAGATGTGTGGTTGAAAAATTTTTGATTTGTGTGTATTATTATTTTATTTGATGAATGTATGGTTGAGATGAAGAGAGAGAAAAAATTAATGTAATGGAATGTAATATAATGGGGGCCAAACAGGGGCTAAATAAGTCCCTGTTTGGCCCTCATTATTTTGTATTTTTGGAGGTTGAAAATTTTTAGAATAGTGATTGATGGGAGAATGTGTGATTGAAATTTTTTTGATTTGTGTGTAATATTATTTTATTTGATAAATATGTGGTTGAAATGAAGATAGAGAAAAATTTAATGTAATGTAATGTTATTTAATGGGGGTCAAACAAGGGCTAAGAAGTATATGAAAACCCTAACAAGGACTTTTGCAACGATAAGATAGGAACGTATTTTTTTTTGTGTGGGGCGAGCTCAATAGATAATTGCATCGCTACAAGCTAGCACAATAGAGATTTTTCTTTCAATTCCAAGATGAAGTGATTTAACGGAGATAAATTTCATTTTCGATCGAATAGATTAACGAGCGAGGGGAAAAAAAAAAGGGCCAGAAAATAGGAATTCATTTTCCCACCCCTAATTACATGGAAAAAGGGAGCGTGGGTGGGTTGGAAGAAAAAATTTTCCTAGGAAAATTTGTGCCATCAAACAGCACAAAAGTGAGAAGTGGGAAAATATTTTCCATTTTCAATGGAAAATTTAGCAAATCAAATAGGGCCTAAATGTAATTTTGTTTTTCTATGTATTAACTCAGTGTAATATAAAGCAAATTATCATTTTCTAATTTCGCTCGTGATGTAGTATTAAACAAATTTGAATAACATAAATCCGGTCGATACGCAGAGTTGCACATGGCTATAATGGAGTTTGATAGTGATCGCTATACCAATATCAATAGAAGTGGGAATGAGGGGCAATTGCTTTAAAATTCTTGATTAAGCCTCGTTTGGGCTACTTTTTTATTTCATTAAAATGAAAAATATGACTGTTATCCATCACATCAATATTTAAATTCAAATTTTCTATTTCTTATGTGGATCCCATTAACGACTATATTTTTCATTCTCATTTTACAAAAAGTTGCTCAAACATGGCCTAAATAAGAAGCATATGAAAACCCTAACAAGGACTTTTGCAACGATAAGATAGGAATGTATTTTTTTAAAAATAAAATTATATACATTTGTCGGGCGAGCTCGATGGATAATTGCATCGCTTCAAGCTAGCACAATAGAGATTTTTCTTTCAATTCCAAGATGAAGTGATTTAACGGAGATAAATTTCATTTTCGATCGAATAGATTAACGAGCGAGGGAAAGGAAAAGAGATTGAAACAAAATTTTTATTGTGTTTTTTCAATATGTAAATGTAATTTTGTTTTTCTACGTATTAACTTAGTGTAATATAAAACAAATTATCATTTTCTAATTTCACACCTGATACAGTATTAAACAAATTTGAATAACATAAATCCGGTCGATACGCAGAGTTGCACATGGCTATAATGGAGCTTGATAGTGATCGCTATACCAATTTCAATAGAAGTGGGAATGAGGGGCAATGTGGAGGAAAGCAACGCAACTGGGATTGGATTTTGAAGGGAAGCATGAAAATAAAGTGGATATTCTCTGTCTAATGGATGTCCCACATTGTTCTATCATCATCATTGGTCTATACAAACCTAACCCTACGAATATCCACTGCAATTCTAGGGGCCCACAAACGCCTATTTTCCCCCGTCTAGAATCCAAGCATTTCAATTGAATTCGAATTGTGTAACTTTTGTACAAAATTTAGATTGAATTTCTAATTTCTCATCTCATTAGGCTTTTGTTTGAGTTTCATTATTTTCAATAAAATAATATTACAAATAAATTCAAAATTTTCCTTATAAAAACCACACATTCTTCAAAAAATACTATTTCAAAATAAATATTTTCTCAAAACTTCATTATAATGGAGTCCAAACAAGAGCTATATACTCAACCCCACATGTGAAAACTAACGAAACTTTCATATGATGATAGAAATTCTACGCGAAATAATTTCTGAAGTTGAGTTAAACTCAACTTGCATGTGGTAGATGGAACTTAGATTTTGGAGATTTTTTTTCTCATAGTTTGAGTTTAATTCAGTGGATTATGAAGCATGTTTTATATTATTGTAAATTATAAAAGTAGATTTGATTGTAATAGTAGAAATTTGTCTAGTGAAGCATATTATTTCCATTTAACCTCTCAAATTATTTCACGAAGAGTTTTCATCCACCACGTGCAAATTTTACTAGTTTCAAAGATCAAGTTGAGTACACTAACTAATGGGACGACCAAAATAATTCAAACCCATAAGTTCAATGTCCAAACGAGATGTCACGCAGTGAGAATGCTTATCCCCCCATTCGGCACGGCGAGGACGCTAACAGCTAGGCGCGGGGCCTATTTTACCAATAGTGCACTAATGATATATGATCATATGCATGTATTCTCCCTAACATCCTACTCATAGCATGTGTGTATGCCAGTTGTTCAGGCTTGCTGACCTTAGAATGAGGGGAAGGCGATCTTGAGGCGTTGTACCTCGGGAGCTAAACCTGTGTTGTTATGGGACAATGTCATGCGCTCTTGCGGAGAAAAGATTTTGGGCCATGGATCGTGTCAGTAGGCTGGTGGAACACAAGGAAGGAAGCTGTGGGCAAGAATGATGAAAAAGGGCAGCGTTGCGCAATTGTCTAGGTACCTTTCAAGGAGTTTTCGAGGAGCGCACCTTGCAGGGATTTTCGACATGCGTTGAGGCGCAATGGTTTGGAAGCCGTCCACCCAAGAAACCAATGCTCGGAGAAGCAGAGGGTGAATGTTGGGGTCGAAGGCGATAAGTACAAGTTATTGCAGGTTTGTGAATGCCTGTCCATATGGAGTGGTGCCGTTGTTATTCTTGCAATGAGACGGATGCGTGTTGATGCAAAACTCACTTCTCGCTACGAGGATGTAAGCGAATTCAAATGGGGGAGAATGTCGCGCAGTGAGAGTGCTTATTCCCCCATTCGGCACGGCAAGGGTGCTAACACCTAGACACGAGACCTATTTTTACCAATAGTGCAATAATGATATATGATTATATGTAGGTATTCTCCCTAACATCCTACTCATAATATGCGTGTATGCCAATTGTTCAGGCTTGCGGCGAGGTTTAAACCCAAGATACATAATGTACTCTACAATGACTTGTAATTTTTGTAAATTGTGTTGAAGTAAGCTGTATATAGAAGACAAAGGTTGACACAACCAACGAACACTACCAATTGAGGGCGAACAAGCCCAAGTACAAAATAAGTACCAATATAAAAAGAGAGAACGAGATAAATGAAAAAATGACTCGTAATTCTGAATAAACCGGGTTGAGCGGCCCATCCATAAAAATAAGGTTTGAACATACTAGTACATCCGATCCATATAAAGCCACTTGAAACTTGAAAGTATTAGAACATGAAGTTGGAAATTGGTGGAAAGTCAAAGACAATATGTAGTTCAATGTATCCAAGTTTGGCATGGTCAAGCGCGCGCGCACACACCCCATTAATATATTCTAAAATTGAAGTTAATTAACCCATTTAAGATTATCCTAAAAGTTCAGTGACCGCAGGTGGAATTTAACCGTCCGCAACCGTCTCTAATAATTATGCAAAAACAATATGCAAATAAACCGGTATTTATTCAAATAGGACAAAAACGCTCGAACAGCGAAATAGAATGTAGTTGGGACAATTTGCAAAACCACGCCACTGGGAGGGTCCCATCCCAGAATTGGCTGACAGCTTACTCTGTGTGAATTGTCTCTTACACACTCTCTCTCCCTCTCTCCTCTCCCCGATCGATCTCTCTCTCACTCTATATATATGTATATGTAGAGGCTTGGGTGGAGCTATCTTGCAAACTTCTGTATTGCTTACTTCCTTAATTCTCTCAAAAAACAATTCTCCATCTGTTCTTTTTTCTTGCACAATTCAGGAGGAGATTTGATTGTTGCATGGATGGATCCTTCAACGGCACACAACCAGGTGGGATATACAAGTCTTTTTTGATTCATTTTGATATATTTTTCACTTTGGGTTTCATTTTTTAGAGCGATTTTGAGTTCTTGACTCAATAATCCACATGGGCTTTCTTTCTGTAATTATAATTCCTTTGTTGTTGTTCTTCAGGAAATGGGTTCCCAAACACTAGAAAGCATGTTGGTTTGCAGCGCAAAACCACAGCAAGAAAAGAAGCCAAGGCCTAGTGAGCAATCCCTAAGATGCCCTAGATGCGACTCTAACAACACCAAGTTTTGTTATTACAATAATTACAGTCTTTCCCAGCCAAGATATTTCTGCAAGTCATGCAGGAGATATTGGACTAAAGGTGGAACATTGAGAAATGTTCCAGTGGGTGGAGGGTGCAGGAAGAACAAAAGACCATCAGCAAAGAGAAGCCAAGATCAACCATTGACAACAAATTCCTCTAGTCCTTCTAGCTCTTGTTTAACACCTCTATCCTATGACTCCAATGATCTCAGCCTTGCAATTGCCAGGCTTCAAAATCAGACCACCGGAGTAATGGGATTCGACGGCCATGGTTTTTCCATGTCAGGTAACCCCAACATCCCTTGTTATGATTCTGGACTTTTTGATGAGATTAGAGGTGGATTTTTCGAGACCCAAAACGAATTTCACAATCTGTACTACGGGAATGGAAACCTGGGGTATTTGGGAAATGGTGGGACGGCGAACATGCAAATTGAGGAGCTAACTGCCGCACAAACAAGAGTGAAGCAAGAAATGCACAATGCAAGAGAAGATGAAAGAAGAGAATTGTGGGGATTTCCATGGCAGCAATTTGGCAATGGGGACACTAACCATATGAATGGAGTTGCCACATCTTGGCATGGACTTCTCAATAGCCCTCTCATGTAGAGAGAGAGAGAGAGAGAGAGAGACTAGTTATAAAAATCAAGATTTGCAAGAAGAAATTTCTAATTTTATATATTATTAGTTTTGCTTGTATCAAGAAGCTTGATTCACTTGAATCATTCCTCTGTTCCTTTTCTTTTTCACTAAACTGATGGAATTTCATATCTTTTTTTCTTCTTTTATTCATAGTAAGAAACCATGTTGTATTTTCTTTGTTGTCTGCTTATTTTGACAATCGACAATTATGTTTCGTAGTCCCTTCCCAGTCTGAACGCTTTGACTTTTGAATTAGTACTTGATAATGGCGGTGTCTGTTCAATGAAATGTTTAGTATATAATATTAAATAGTAGCCTGGTAAGAAATGGATGACACTATCTTTTCTATACTTTAATCCGATTCTATTATACCAACCACGACTTTAAAGAATTGCTAGTTTTCAAGATATTCTGTCATCATTGTGTCTTAGATCTTGTGATTATTAAAATGTGTGAAGGTACTAATGTAGGAATAATTAAATGATAATTTAAATGGGGTCAGTTCTCTTATCCCTAAGATTTACAATTTCAGCGAGAAATGAGCACCAATTTCAAGATAGGTTTCCAGCTGCTGCCGGACCAAATCTTTCGAGAGATTTGGGCGTGAAAAACGTCGAGTTTATAATATTACAATCCAGCTTGAAAATTGCATAACTAAGGGGTTGAACCCCAACCTTGAGGGCCCCGTCCCGTCCTTCTCTTAAAGCATTGTGGAGGAGATAAATAGCTGAATGTGTCTCGATAGGTCAGTATACAAAAGCTGTCATACTGGTATCCACAAAAAGTTCAATTTTATATATTGTAAGATGTATGAATCGAAAATTGAATAATTCTATCTAACATCGGTAGTGATAGATTTCCAATTTAGGTGGTCACTCATGATAAATACAATTAAATGGATGTTTTTGTACTTTACATTAAAATGAACTTATTATTTAATTGACACCTATACTAGTGCTGAGTACCAATAGCGCTAAATAACATTACTTTTGAAAAATTGACTAAATTTGAATTGTTTTCAACATGTATAAAAGACTTTCTAATACAAAATGTAGAGAGCCAGTAAAAGAGAAGCCTTTGTTTGGGTTTCCTAGGATCCATAAGTACTATTTGATTTTAAAAAAAAATGTTTTAACAAGTAAAAATGAAGCCTTTGTTTAGGTTCCATTTTCTTTTCATTAAATTTTGCTTTTTAAAGTTAATGTCAAGTTTAACCATAAATTTCATAAGAGCAACAAGTAATATTCATTTATCCATACTCATTTTTCGAAAAACAAAATTTAAATAAAAGAAAACGGGCCACAAAACGACACATTCGAATGTTTTAAGGTTACCTGCATTTTTATTTTCATTTTTTTGTACGACTGCCTAAAACACGCATTTTATGGCATTTATTTTCATTTGTTGCTAAGCATATAGAAATATTTTTCTATTTAGGAAATTTGCAGTATATGCTAGTAGCATACCAGGAGACCCATTGCCTTCCTAACAACCTTCTAATTCCCCATAATTTATGGCCGCGTCGATTTCTGATTAAAATCAGATTTTAATCTAAGTCAAAGTCAATAAATCAATATTAACCACATCTTTCATGGGTTCCATAATTTTTCAACCATACATTTCAAAAATTTCTATCACAATCTACTAAAAATCTAATTTTAATCCCCACCGAACACCTTGTATTTCCTATAGTTAAACTAGTAAGTCAAAGATAATTTTTTTTCTTCTTCTTTCTCATTGAACACTGCAAATGAATTTGCTAAAGAATAATGTTATTTTTAAGCACTGCGATAAATAGTAGTCTATGTGACAGTAGAGCCATTGTCACATAGACTGCTTACATATAACATTACTCGCTAAGACTCATGGACATGAGTAGGATTTTGGGACTTGTCGTATTATTAGTCCGACATGCCGTTTTACGACCCACAATTTGGTGACACTATGGGTACCCAAAAGTATGGATCAAGAACGCTATGTGTGTGTAAATATGCAATTTCAAATTGCATATTGTATATAGAGTCACAAAGCAAACCGCGCCAATCATTTTGAGGTGACTCGTGCTCAGCCCCACTCATTATTAACTCACTACAATCATTTTCTCCATGAGCTCATCACGTCCAAAATTATTTGAGTCATGAAAGGCCTACATACATATGAGTGTCTTTCAACCTTTAACAGGCATGCATAGGTCCCCCAAGGCACATCACGATGGCTTGCTTGTCACGTGCTAGGACATTAGAGGGCATATTTTGACACTCTTCAATGTAAAATTGAGGTGCAATTGAATTAACGATGAGAGGTTTTACTTTTATTTATTTAGTCCTATGGCATTGCATGGCGGCTATTGTAATTACAATCATGCTCGGTGTACAATTATGGATGACAATCTTGTTGACAACATACCACGTGATAAATTGTCAATGAACAGTTTGAAAAACAATTTATTTTTGCAATCAACATTTTTTACCCATACTTTCTCCAAAAAATGGAAAATACTATTCAAAAACTCTTTTTTTTTAATACCTGTA